TATTTAGTTCTTCCCCAAATTGTGCTTTGTGCTCTTGTAAATAATGCCGTGCTGCTGGGCCATCCTATAGAGAGAGCCTAGATTGATTTTGCAACTACTGATCAGGAGATGACTTACAGTTGACTGAGGCTGTTTTTTTCCCCCCAGTATACTGGAAATGCACGTCAACCAATTTACTGTACAGAGCGGCTGTTAGAATTAGGGATACAATACATATTGTTTATGCAAAGACAATTTGCTGTTTGAGCAAGTGATCATACACAACATGGTTTCCAAATATCCTGATATCCTTATCCTCCCTAGAGCCCTATGAGCTAGCTTTTGTTCTTACAATTACTAAAATTTAGAGGTGCTAGTAGGCATCTATAAGAACTCTGAAGCCAGCCAGGCTAATCACTTCCCTCCACTTGCAGTCTTTATGCTAAGCTAAGCTAATTGCCACCCAGCTGTAGCTTTATATTTAGTGCACAAATATGAGAGGTGTATCGATCTTCTTATCTAACTCTCAACAAACTGTGTCGAGTATTGCACCAAATTCTTAAAAAGAACAGAACTGATCGTACTAAAGAGATGGACAATAAATTGCCTCACAAAAGAGTTATGCTTTAATACTGCAGTATGTATGAAAAAATAAATAAATCAACCACAAATGTATTTTACATTGGTACTTATCCACATATCTCAAAGGTATGTGCAGGGAGTGCTCGGCTTCTACTACAAGAATAATGATGCGGTCAAGGAAGACGACGACCTGCAGAAGTGGATTGGGGACATTTTTGAACACGGATTCCTTTCCCAAGAAGGCACAGGTGGGCTTAAAAGAAAAGCTCAATATTAATGATGAGAGATGTGCACATTTATATTTAATATAACATGTTCATATTGCAAAGATAACTCAAACTTAAATCATCTAGGCAACTTTAATTCATGCAGTTTATTTCCTCTAATTCTCAGGAATTCCACAGAGCTTTACCACAGTGAAAGAGTTGGTCAAGTTTGTCACCATGGTGATCTTCACTTGCTCAGCACAACACTCTGCTGTGAACACTGGACAGGTGAAGCCTTTTAATTTACCGGGATGATCAATTGTGATGTTGCTATTATTGTAGAATGGGTTCATGATGTCTGCACGTTTTTTTCTGGACTGGAAACAGATGGATGACATAAACAAGAATCGATGCAGCCATGCTAGCAGGTCTGTGAGTCTGCATGTAGGCAGTGGCATCGGCAGGATTATATTTCATAGAAAACACAAGAACAACCCACTTGTAGGTTCCTGTGGGTGCACAAATGCAATCTACCTGGTGAGCAAGTAAGAGAGAAAAAGAATGATTCTACCGCAATCACTATTGCAGCTCTCTTACAGTAGCTCATAAAAGAGTCATGCCACAGACAGACAGACACACAGACAGACACACAGACA